GTGTGCGCGTGCGCGTGTGTGTGTGTGTGTGTGTGTCTTTTTTTAAAAAAAAAAAAAAGAAAGAAATGGAGGCGTGGTAGCAGCTTTGAGCTGTTAGTTTCTGCTTCTAATTAGCGTCACGAGTATTCTCATATCTGAACCACATTGGTCATAACCACCAACTTCTTTATGAAACTGGCTTAAAGGATTTAGCTTGTTTATAATATTTCTGCTGTTTTAATTTTAAAAAAAAATGTGGAAGGTTGTTACCGGCTGTAAATTCACAGATACGATGATTTATTGTAATATAAAATAAGGCGCAAGCGAGAGTCACGAAGATGAGAACGTGAAAATCAAGTTAAAGAAACATTGAGCTCTGCTAGTTCAGGGTGAGCTACAACTTCAACACTATTCTCTCAGGATGAGTATGGTGTGATAATGGGGGGAGGGGGTGTAGCGTTGCCTCTGTAGGTGTTGAATTGCCAAGGCGATGTTAGTAACAAACCATAGGAGGCCTTATGTGTGACTCCAACCAGCTGATGAATATTTCACCTGACTGACGTGGGCTGTCGATCAGAACAGGGCGTTACTCCGACAATTCCCAGAGCTGACTTCATACAAACAGAATGTAACTTGACATGCATTCTAATTTTTTTACGAAGGCCGCAAGGATAATCTGCCCACAGTCTACTGCATGAAGACTTGGCAGGTGGCTTTAAAAGGCCAAGCTGCTCTTATTTTCATGGGAAAGAGCTAATGTATCTTTTTGTGGGTTTTTGTCCGTTTGTGGCTTAGTGCAGTTTTGCATAAATCAATTAATTTGACTAATCAAGGCTCTGTTGACAGAACATCAGTCTATCATAGACCTTTTTGTCCTTTTTTTGTCCTTTTTTTTTTATTTCTTTGTCATGTGACCTCTTGTTGTTTGCATTTTGCATCTTGATCAATTAAAAAAAACAAAACAAAAAAAACCAAAAAAAATAATATTACGCAAGCCTATCAGTCATTAATTGGCTCAAACTCATATAAGGTAGAAGAGATATCAATATCAGATGGTTATGTGCTGTGTCACAACAATTTGGCTCTGGCAAAATATTCAAGAATGGTGTGATGAAGACCAGGACACATGTTTATTCTTTATAATGAAGATAATGAAGAGGGCGATCATGGCTCAAGAGTTGGGAGTTTCCCCTTGTAATCAGAAGGTTGCCGGTTCGAGCCCCAGCTCGCACAGTCTCGGTCGTTGTGTCTTCGTGCAAGACACTTCACCTACTGCCTACTGGTGATGGCCAGAGGGGCCGATGGCGCAATATGGCAGCCTCGCTTCTGTCAGTCTGCCCCAGGGCAGCTGTGGCTACAACAGCAGCTTGCCTCCACCAGTGTGTGAATGGGTGGATAGGTGTGTAAAGTGCTTTGGGGTCCCTAGGGGGGACCAGTAAAAGCGCTATACAAATACAGGCCATTTACCATTTCTTTAAAAGTAAATGATGCACTACACAAAACATCTGTTGTGCTTTTATAAATCTTCAGCACTGTGTCTGCATTAGCTACAGCTCATCTTTGGATGTCAGTAATCAGAGGACAAATCTGATCAGCAAAACACTCAGATGGTTTTGGACTCCTTGCATATTCATATCACCTGCTGTCATCATTATCCACGTGGCTTCTCTCCAGTTGCAACAGCTGTGCCTTCAGTGCCTTTTTAAATAAGAATTATGTAAACCTATGTTTGAGTCATTTGTATTGCGTATTGTATTACATTTATATCTGCATTTCCTTCTGTGCAGCAGAACACAAACTAAACATCAAACCAAAGTAATGACTGACTGTCAGTGTTCCAATATGTGATAGCATGATCCTTTGTTGGAGATGTCCAGCGATACAAAACGATTTGAAGGTTGAAAGCATTATGGTATATGTCACACGTGACTGTAACCATTAAAACCTGGTTTATGGGGCTGAGGTAAAAGGGCAAAGGGCAGATGGGTCATAATTGTCAAAGACTGACTCCTGTTCCATTTATATATCTTTAATGAGACATAGCCTATGTAATAGGTACAAAACTGCACAACAGACTACCTGTTTTGCATAAGCCACGCACTATAAATATGTGTATCTGTCTTTCTCCATCTGTGGTTGGCTTAGGCCATTTTAATAATAAATTATACTTGCTAATGGCATCCTTTTTTCTTTTCTTCTTTTTTTTTCTCAGACTCTGAGAGCGAGAAATAAAGCCAATAAACAGACCGAAGGAGAAAGGGCACAGCAGACGACAGAGGTGAAAGACGAGGATGAGCGCGACCCATACAGCCTCTGCAGCTCTGTGGACCTCGATAAGGTGTGTGCGTGTTTTGAGACGGGGCTAATATGCGATCAAATGAAGAGTGCGTCTTTCCTGCATCTTTTTTTGAGTCAATGTGTGCTTTTGCTGAAATTATGCAGCAATCGATCAGACACTGGAAACAAAAGGTGGAGGATGACCTAACAAGTGTATTTGCTTACCCGTGACGGGGTAGGTGAACAGCCATCTGGTTATTCACCCTGCTTCATCTGTTTGCAGATTGCATGATTTCCCACACTGCCAGACACAAGCATGTACAAAACAGAAGACAAAGCAGCATTGCTGAACTCCTAAATCTAAGCCAGTGCTGAAAGTCTAGACTCAAAATGGTGCAGGTGTTTTTTTTATATGTTCATACTAGAAGAATTTGTCCCTGCGTGCTGAAATCTACCTTCAAGCACACACAGTCAGACATTCATTTAAACTATGCTCATGTGATGGTGCAGTTTGACACGTGTTTTTTCCACTTTAACAGGCTCAGCACCACAATGACAGATTCAACCAGTCTGTCTCGCTCTCTCTGCTGCCAGGCAACGCTTTATTGAACGAGACCCATGACTCTTGACTTCACACACTTAAGTTTTGCAAGGCCGGTTTCAAACACCAGTGTTTTTGTGACACAGGGATCTGTCAGTTTAAGCCCTTCATTCTGAGGGTTTGCTTCTTCCAGTAACTTGAATCCTGATGCTCGGACACTCCCTTCACACATCTCAAACATGGGTAACTGTACCCATGTGCAACACTCATGCAGTTTCTGCGCTATGCAAAATGTTGTTATTATCACCAGCACACTTGTCATGTGCTAGCCTTCCTCATTTTAAAAAAAGAAAAAGGCCCGCTTTTTGTTTTCAAACTGGTTAAGCTGGATCGTAGCCGCTTTAATGTCCTGGTTGTTCGATACTCACCTTTACTCAAGCTAAATCAGTCCGTCCACATTTGCAAGCTGCGTAACACCAGGAATCTGAAGCATGTCTTCACACTTGGCTTGGCTTTGTTCACCTGTTATTAAACACAGAAACCGGTTTCTGTATCTTTTCTTATGCAAGCAAAGCACCACTGTAAATTTTCAGACTTCTTGATATTTAGAGTAAATGTTGAGCTTGGGGCTTTATATAACCAGCAAATGCTAGCTGGATTGTCTTTTTTTTGTTTTGTTTTTTTTGTTTTTTGAAGTCATCCCGGTATATCCATCAGTAGGTTACACTCAGTGACTGTACAAGTATAAAATGCAATGTTTTCTACTGTCATTGGTTCCACTTCAATATGACAACAGTGGAATTTAATGTGATCTTCCAGCTTTTTTTTTTTTTTTTTTCTTTTTGTGTGAAATCACTTGTTTGTGGGAAGCTCCTTGCAGCATGTGGCAAACACAATTTCACTTTCTTTCTTTTTCTTGTTATATACAAGACGGTGTTGTAAAAATTTAACTTTCTCTTTGTATCTCTAAGAGTTTGTCTGCAATCACATTTTCTGTTTTAAAGGTTTTTGACTTTAACATTTCTTTACTTTATTGTGCACATTTATTATGTATTTTTCATCGATATGGTTTTGGTTAAAGCAACAACCGAACTTTGTTATGGCAAAGAGAAGCTTCTATTTTCTACTGGCATTGTTTCATTATTCATGTGTGAGAGACGACTGTAAAATGTGTTTTGTATGTCAATTACTGCAGTGAGAAGTAGCAGAAAAGGCAGATTTTCATTCGCTTGGCAGGTGTTCATAAGTCGATCTGCATATGGGCAGATTATGTAAACATGTAACGTCAACATGTTGACGGATACTTGTGCCTGGTGTGTTCACAGCTCTGATGCAATTCTACCAACTAATTTCCCCCAAAATAAATAAAACAACACGCCGATTTTAATAAATCCAAACCCGAAGGTGTGCTTGTGTATATAGTATACCAGAGATGCATACAATTGAATGGATGTGAGCTTTCTGAATGAGTTAAACTGCCTCGGGTGATGCCAGTGTTAGTTGGGACTTAAGCATACAAATCAAAAAATAAAATAAAGATAGATATGCAGAGAAGTGTGGGGATGACTGCAAGTGAGCTTACCAGAACCTCACCCTCGGGATTAAATCAAGTTAGACGTTTGCTTTTCGAGTAATTTACAGTTGATGCCAAGAAACGGAGAGCATGTGAGACAGAAGATGCAGCATCTCTGGTTTTGCTTTGTTTTTTTGGCTCCCCCCTTATTTAAAGTTGAACTTTGTAGTCGTATCAGCAGCTAATCTGTGGATAGCTTAAAGTATTTTTATTTTTTTGGCAGTTCACAGCTGTATTTATGCCTTGAATGAGCAGGGGTAATAAAGAACAGAGATGGTAGTGTTCCAGCGCAGCGCTTCTTCAGGGTCGCTAGCTCCATTAAAACAATGTGATATGTGTCCGGTAGCTAAACAGTCTGCTGCAGTAAACAGCCAACACATGATTAATTGCCGCACACGGAACAGTAAAGGTCTGGTGATTGTGCCAGCCGGTGCCTGATGTCATGATAGGGGTGTCTCTCACACACACAGTCATCATCACATGGTCACTAAGCATCATTTTGTGACTAATCACAGGAAAGTGTCAGGGTTAAGAGGGAAATTAAGATTAAAGAGTGGACTTGCTGCTTCTCTTTCACTCTTCTCAACTCACACCAGTGGGGCCATAAGGTAAAGTTCTGACTCAGGACTCCTTCCCACCCTGTTTCCTTACCAGAATGATTCCACCTGATATTTCCAAATGTTATAGTGTGAAACCTGACAGTCTTCGCGTCACACACCATGGCAGCCCATTTCCTGTGTGGCTGTAAACACAGGGAACTTGTGAAAAGCTTGTAAAAGCTTTCACTTAGACTTAAGTAAACCTGCAAATGCACACGCACGCAACAAGCAAATTTCACATGCAACACTTCCTGGTCTGACCAGTCCTTGGAGCAGTATAGTTTTTACCTCTATGCTGCCACCTGCTGGAGAAGTTTTGTTTTACTTTTTGGATTTTTTTTTTTTTTTTTTTCCCCCTCCTCGTGTATAGAGAACGGGTTTTACTAATTTCATTTCGTTGTACTTCTGCAGGATTTGGTGGACTGGCGGAAGCCCCTGGCATGGCAGGTGGGCCACCTCAGAGAGAAATATGATGCGTGGGTACACCAACCAGTTGACAGACCTATCAGACTGTTTGGAAACCCCATCATGGAGGCCATCACTAAAACTTCTTGGTAAGAAAGGAAGCTTGAAGAAAAATTAACCATTTATCAGATAAGAACATACATTCAGTTTTGCAGGCTTGGCAATCACTCGTGCAACGTTTTCACAGAATTTTACTGTTATTTATTAAGTTTATATTTATATATCAACCAGCTGGAGGTGAGGGACCTGAGACAGGACAAAAGAGACACTGCTGAAGAGCGCTAGAGATTAATAATTCCTAATGACTAATACACTAGCATTTTATAAACATACAGGGAGTGAAAAGAGAAGCTTGGACCCATTGCAGCATAACTAAGAGAGAATTCAGGTTCTAATTATGCTTTATCAAAGCCTGATTTTAAAGTATAGAGGGTGTCTGTCTCCTAAATTCAAACTGGGAGCTGGTTCCATGGAAGACAGGCCTGAAAGCTCTGGGCTCTGCCTCCCATTCTACTTCTAAATACTGTAGGAACCAGACATAAGCCCGCAGTCCGAATGTGAAGTGCTCTAGTATACAGGTACAATGGTCCAGCCTAGAACTAATAAATCACGAACTAGTTTTTCAGTATTACTCTGAGACAGGATGTTTCTGTGTTTGCAGGTATTGCACAAATACAAGAAAAGTGTCCTGCATACTTGTTTGTTGTGGTCTTTGAAGGATACATCCTGGTTTAAAAAAAAATAAACAAATAAAATAACTCCAAGTTTTCTCAGTATTACTGGAGGCCAAGCAATTACTGAGGGAAAGTAAATAGAAACATTTATGCAATGGTTTCCGCAAATCATTGTGTGTAATGGCCACACGATGAGGGCTGTGATGTAAAGAATATTTCCCACCTTGAAAATTCTGTCGGCAGTTCTGTGATTGCCAAAGGATAAGCAAACACATCTGCTTCAGTGGCGTCATCAAAGATTGAATTATAATGAAAAGTGCAATTTTATAAATGTATGCAATTTTATGCTTGTTCAGCCTACCTCTGCAAGCTACTTTGCAACCCACCTTCACCTGAGGTTCCAGTCATTTCCGATTTAACCAGTGTCACACCTGTGGTCACGTCCTGCTCTCTCTTTTTCCTGTTTTGATGCATCGTGGACAAAGCCATACACCAGGGGTGTCAAAAATAATGCCCAGGGGCCAGAAATGGCCCAGCAAAGGCTCCAGTCGGGCCAGCTTGACAACTTTGTGAAATATGAAGAAGTGCATAGATTTTGTATTTTTAAAAGATTTACAACTTTTTCCTGTTGATGAAGGACCCCATATTCATACTACACCAAAGTAATTAAGTAATAGATTAACAATTAAATGATAAAGTTCCTGTTTATTTTTGTTTTTTTTATTTATTATTATTATTATTATTATTTTATTATCTACTACAGAAATCCCTTTCTATACCAGAAGGGGAAATAAAACAACGTAGTACAACAAAATGTTTTTTATAATTACTGGAAAGTCTGGACTGAGAACGTTTCCTGTAACTTTACCCGTTTATCATGTCGTTCACCATTCTGGCCCAGTTCAGATTAATGGCCCACATCGTAAACTGAATACACTGTCCTCTAGTAACAGAGTGAGAGCGTGAACTAATGCTTACACTCTCTTGCTTTCAGGTATTGGGTACCTATTGTGTGGCTCCCTATTGTGTTTTATCTGAGCTGGCACTGCTATACCACCCTGGCACAGGGCACCACCAGGCTAGCCCTCACTTCAGGTAACTCACTGTCACTTGTGTTTTCATTTTCATTTGTGTGTCCACATTTCTGTTTGAGCCATCTATAGCCGAGCATGTGTGTGTTCCCAGGCTTCTCTATCCCCATCCACAAGTACTTTTTCCCAGTCCTCTTTATGATGGGCTGGTTCTTGTGGTCATTCATCGAGTACTGCATCCATCGCTTCGTCTTTCACATGAATCCACCAGCTCATAACTACTACCTCATCACGCTACACTTCCTCCTGCATGGACAGCACCATAAGGTATGAACAACCACTGCTGAGGTTACAGCTGTGAGTCATCAAAGCAATATTTGTTTTTGTTTAAAATCATCCTTTATGGCACCAGCTGAGGTGGTAATGTTATATTGCAGGGAGGAGGGGGGCCGCAAACGTCCTCCTGTTTCCAAATACTTTTATGAACTGAATACATATCAAGTATAAGTAGTTACGGATGTGCAAATATTATAAGTTAAATTATTGTAACATTAACCACAGTATAGTTTAAGCCACAGGGGGAAACTGATTTAGCTTAGCTTAATAAAGAGTTAAAATAAACTATGCAGAAGCAGTGTGTGGGGAAAAATGCTGTTCATCTCAGTTTCTGTTTTACTAGGTTGTAAAATTTGAGTATTTTTTTTACTAGCTTCTTCTATGTAAAACCTTATAACTGATAGTCGGTGTAATTAGGAAATGTTTTTCCTGTAGAAGCTATAAAGTCGCTCTACAAAATCTCACAAACCCCCCGATTCCAAAGATTCTGGGACTATCTATAAGCTGTAAATAAAAAAACACAATACAATGATTTTTTTCAAATCTTACTAACCCATATTTTATTCACAAAAACAAACATTAGAAAAATATTGTAATATTCAGACTCTAATCTGAGTTTGACGGCAGCAACAAGTTGTTGGGAGAGGCTGAGGAAAATGCTGTGAAAGATATCGCCACTTGCTGATCATTTTTGAATTACTGTCTGATGAATACCTGTGATGGCTTTTTGTTGCGGGGGGGAAAAAGGACGTAAAATGGTCTAAAATGGCCACCGTATATAAATCTTTTTATTTATTTTCTCTCTCCAGTCTCCGTTTGACGGCTCTCGGCTGGTCTTCCCTCCCGGCCTCGCCTCCTTAGTAGTGGCGGTCTTCTACATGTCCATCCATTGCGTGCTCCCAGACATCCTCGGAGTATGCGTGTTTGTCGGTGGGCTGGGCGGCTACGTCGTATACGATATGATCCACTACTACCTTCACTATGGCTCTCCGAAGAAAGGCTCATATCTGTACAGCCTGAAGGCCTACCATGTCAAACACCACTTCGAGCACCAGAGATCAGGTGAGGATTACATTTGCTAACGGCCTTAGAAGAAATATGGTTTTGTTTTTTCTTTCTTTTTCTGATGGGGATCTTTATTTTTCTCACCAGGTTTCGGGATCACCACCACATTCTGGGACCACCCCTTCAACACAACCATCCCTGATGAAAAATTCTGACATGGAAACGGCTCCCCCGAAGGGCCACAGGACTTGTCAACCACCCTCTTTTAGCCCCCAGCCTGCCTTCTCCAACCATCCCAACTCCTTATTTACATCTCTGCAGCCATATAGCTTCCACAGACTAGGAGGAACTTCAGGGCCACTGCATCCAGTCCATTAATACTCTGTGTAACACATTAACCAGCACCACAATATTACCTTAAGCTCAGTCACCTGGGTGTGTGTCAACCTGCCTGCACTATTTACTCACTGTGATCATTTCCACTAAGATGTGAGGGCTTTCAGTGCCATTTTTTTCCTTCTACTACTACTACTTCTGTTTTCATTTAAGAAATCTGCCCCCTGTGCTTTACCAACACCAACCTATCACCTGATCACCACTCAGAATGTCGCCGCATACAGCTGGGAGGTGGCCGTGGAGAGAAAAATCTCTTTTGTGATGCATGTGGTCAATTTGAATTAGATTTAATCTTTTAGTCTAAAATCATACAGGGGGACAACTGTGATTAAAATTACTAATCTGACAGCACAATGCTCACACAGCTCACAAACGCACACTGTTCAAGAGGTAACAGGAAGTGATAGATGGTAGGTGAATGTTGAAGACGGGTGGAGCGGAGGGGGTGAGAGATGATTAGAAAGAGTGCATGTGAGAGAGAAAGTGTGACAGAGATTGAGAGAGAGAGAGTACGCTAACTGTTTAATTACTGAGGAAAAAGGCTTCTTCCCGCCTTCGCATCATCTACAGCTTACATATTCCTCGTCACTGTCACTTTTCTCTGCTACGCTGCTATAAACTGTTGCGCTGCTAACAAATCACAAAAGTTCCCTCCACCACATTTGGGTTCGCTTGATTTAAGAAGCAGCCGTGCCTGGAAAACCTTCAGTTTCACATTTGTTTTTGCTGAGATACGTTTAACTTATCACCAAATCTGCAGGAGTGAGTTTATACTGTAGGAGGCTAATTCCATGTACTGTTAATGTGATGTAAAAGCAGAGTTCAGAATGTCTGAAACCCCTGTGGAGATATATTTTTGCAAGTCTGTAATATTTCCATCTTTTTATTTTTTTCCTCATTAATAATTCAACAAAGATGTAAAAATAATATTTTGTATGAAGCTTTGTACAGTAGAGGAGATTCTTTGATCGCACAGTCTTCATTTTGTCAGGTTGACTATATGTTAGAGAGTGAGTGTGGTTGTCAGGGTGACTGGGACAAATCTGAAGGCATGAAGCCAGGCTGTCTGATTTCCTGCTGTGGGGATCTTGGGGTCAAAGGTCACAGATTTTTGGAAGTGTTATTTTCTAAAAGTAATCTTGACATAGAGATTACTTCCTTTTAAAGGGGACCTATAATGCAACTTCTAACACCATGTTTCAAGTGTAGCTTGGCATGACTCACACTTCAAACTAATGCTTATTTACATCATACTAACAAACCATCTTAGCTCTCTTATCCCCTCCTCTTAAAGCCAACTTTCTTCTGATTGGATGCCTCTCAGAGCTGTGTTCCTTAGTTGAATATATATAAGGGATATCTGCTCTCTATGACATCATACAGAGCCAGGAGTAAAGGAAAGCTATCTGAAACTTGAATGTTTAGGGTAGTTTGAAGCCTGAGCTAAAGTCGGTGGTTTATTTTGGCCCTGCAGACCCTCCCTAGGATGACGATAAATCAACAAATCTGACTTTACAGCAGGAAGTCTTGACACTGACTGGTGGATCCGCAAAATGTCTCCTGAAAAATGCCCGACAACGCCGATAAGTCAAGTAGAACAAACTTAATTCGCACCCTTTACATGAATAACTGAAGAACAGTAAGAACATACTGCTGCTGCAGGAAATTTATTTTTTATCTACTTTTCTAGCTTGAATAAATACTTCCACTTATAGAAGTGTACATACAGCTGTATGTAATCTAATCCATCTGAGTTTTAACCATTCAAGAAGATTTGTAATGCAGAACCTTAACACCATTTATACTCCTCTTTTTTTAAAAAAATAAATAAATAATTGTTTCATTTATTTTTATACAAATTCTCTGCAGCAATAACAGTGAAGTGTAAACCTAAAAAGGGCTGAGGGACCCCAAAATGTTTCCACTATGACGAGATGAGTGGATTTATTAACTGATTTAGCACCAAAATGTGTCATTGTCTACAAATATCTGTTGATCTTTAGCTGTGATTATGATGATTATGAATGTTCAAGACTTTGTGCAGAAAGCATTAACTCATCAAAAAGAACCTAAAGAATGTTTTTAATGTCTGTTATGCTGATGGTTCTAATAATAATGATAAGACATGATTGTGCCGGCTGCTAGGCAAAGTGAAATGATTCCACTTGTTGGAGTTAAATTTAAAAAAAAAAAATGCATATCTTATTTATGTATATTTATATGGTAAGAATGAAAAACAGCAAATATGATTCTAACTTGTGAACTTTTTCTCTTGTGCTAAATTTTGCAGCAAAAAAAAAATCCTAAATTTGTTTACGTTCATGTCTTAACTTTTTGTTTTGGAATTTTTAAATCCATGCAAATGCAAAGGTATTTGTAAATAAATATCTGTATATTTCTGATGTTGGCCTGTCCAGTTTTTTATTTTTATTCGCTGATTGTGGTGGCTTCCATTCTGCAACCGTGATGCGTGATGATGGATGATGACTTTAAATTGCATTGTAAGAGATGAAGGGTGGAGTATTTGAATCTTTTAATCTTATATTTTAAAAACTGAGGTGTTGCTTTTGCCTCTGAATGTAGAGATGTTTTGGGGGGGTTCAAAAGACTTTCAATGTGACGTGGTTGTTCATGTCAGCGGTCACAGTAAAATATCTGGATCCCTTTGAGCTAAAAGAAAAGCAAAAGTAACTCAAAGTCCTTACAGCCAAGGTTTGCAGGCGAGCATCTCCGAATGCACAACACATCAAACCCTGAAGCAGAACAGCACGCAGTCTTTCTGTTCCTCCGGTCAGCTGTGAACAGGAAACTGTGGTTGTAATTCAGAGGCTCACAAAAGCTGTACACCAAAAGGGTGAAAAAACTTTGCGCTGTGTGATGAGTCACGATTTCTATTGCAACACTTTCGGACACAAATTCGGACAGAATGTGGCGTTAACAACATGAAAAAACGGATCCTTTCTGCCTTAAAGTTTTAGGGTGGTGGTGTAGTAATGTTTTTTTGGTACACTTTGGGGCCAAACAACTTCCTATAAATTATTTAATCATCTAGTTTAATCATTAAGCAACTACTTTTCTGAACACGATAAGCAGTTCACTGCACTCAAATGGCCTCGACAGTCAACATACATCAATCAAACAGAGCACCTTAAAGACATGGTGGAACAGGAGGTTCACATTAGGGGTGTGAAACCAACAAATCTGCAGCGACCGTGTGATCATCATGCCTTAGTTGTTATATACCAGGAAGACTGAAGAAAAAGGCATCCAATCTAATACTGTCAGTGTGTACCTAATAAAATGACCGTGTATTCACTGCATGTGTGGATTAATTTGAACACAAGAAGCAGGGTGTGCAGGGTTATTTCTGCCCTAATTAATTTTTTTTTTTTTAAAAAGGTGTTTTATGAAAGAAAACAGATACTCGACAGCAGCTCACAGTTCATGGTGGTGTCCTGTGCACTGAGGCTCTCAGGAACATGTACACTCTAAACAGGTTGCCCATCTGTCACAGGGACAGTCACGCCAATATAAGCCATAATTATTAACACTTACGGACTGTTTGCACCATATTATAACCTAATAACAATCTAATTCGAGTAGCATCGTTGTGTGTAAGCAGCTTTTTATTGTTTGTTTGATCAGTGGAGATCATTTTAACTAATCTTTGCTACTCTGTAGCTATTGGTTACCGATTAATCTGCTGATAATCTCTTCCCTGTTTTACAAGAACACCAATGTTAGTAAAATGCAGGTAGCCCCAGTCCACCACTGCAATCAGAATATTTCACAGAATACAATTTCCATTTGAAGGATGAGAGAGTAGCTTTTGACCTCAAAATGAAGCCTTCAGTCTTAACGTTTCCTTAGTTAGACTTTCACTTTCACCTCATTGATCTGGGGTCTTGACTAAAGGCTGGTTTGCCAACTTAGATCACTTAATCTCTGGTTTTCCTTCCACAGAGTCTTTTAACCTGTCTCCCTCCCCTCGCCCACAAGTGGCAGCAGGTGGCTCGCCCTCCCTGAGCCTGGTCTGGGAGGTTTCTTCCTGTTAAAAAGGACTTTTTCCTTCCCACTTACCCCAATGCTAAAGTGATTGTTGGGGTTCTCTGTATCATTGCAGGGTCTTTACCTTGCAATATAAAGCACCTGGAGGACTGCTGTTGTGATTTGGCGCTATACTGACTTGAATTGACTGATCCGGGTTGGGAGAATCTGATTGGCTCCAAGTTTGCATTAAAACCTCACCCATGCATGCTCTGTGTCTTCAATGTTATGGTTCTCTGGTGTTGTAGGAGGACAACAACAAAATCTTTGTGTCAGCAGCCTACTGCGTACACTTCTGTGTGCCTCGTGTTTCTGTTGCATAAGATCCTGTTTCTGTGTTTTCACAGATTTACTCACGCATTTCTTTTTCAAGACTTTATTCTTTGGAATATTCAAAGCCAGCGCTATAGGTTAGCTTCAACCCCCAAACCGTCTGAACATCTGTAGGTTTGTCTGTTTTTAACACAGCGGCAGAGGTGCAGTAGGACCCTGGGGTGCGGCTGCAGCAGTGTAACAGTGAGCAGACAGGAGGGAGGAGCCTGAATAGAAACCAAACAACCCTCCACACCCTGTGGCCTCTGGGAAGTTTCTCCGCATTCCTGCAATAGATTCAGACACACACACCTAAAAATTAATAGACAGGAAGCTGGAAGGAACCTGAAGCTGAGGCTGGGTAAGTGTGTGCAAGGCTGAGAGTGTGCTGCTCTTTTTCACAACAGCTCATCAGTTGTTGCCTTCATGTCCACTGTTGTGTGTTTGTGTGTGTGCTGAAACAGGAGTTTGGAGGGGCTACTGCTTTAGGACTGGAGACCAGAACCTCATCATCCCCGCCCTGCCAGGTGCTGTATTTTCCTGACTCATCCTCTGTTTTACCGCTGAATGCTTCTCTGTCACTTTCCCCGCCTGCACAAACATAACTCAGTCACAGGAAGTGCTCTACTGCTTTCAGTTACGTCCTCACTAAGCGTATCTCTTGGTCAGTGTGTGTTCAAGTGCAGATACAGTGAAAATAGAGGAAGCTATTTTTCTTTAAACGTTGTTAGAGCTGATATAACCACAGCTTCCACCCAAGAAACTGCAGCATTTGTAGGAAGTTCGTATTTTAAGAGTTCACCAAGTAACTGAAATGACAGCCAAAGCATGCAGATGTCTGCAACATGACGTGGTGAGCCTCACATGCAAATCTAAAACCTCCCTTGCTTGCCTGGTAGTAACCATAATGTAATAGCTGATGCATAAACATACGCTAGCAATAAATAAGCTGTTATATTATTGTACTCATGGTGTAAATAAATGCATTGTAAAAGGTCTCAGTGAAGTCACTTAATATGATAAATAACACGCCTCCATCTTGCCCTGCATTATAAAAAACGCTGCATTTAACTTTATTTATGCTACTTTTGAAGTATATTTTTAGTTAGATACTTTATTGATCACAGGAGGGAAGTAATGTGCTACAGCTGCAGGATGATATTTGTGTGCAGTCTCATGTCTCACAGGTATGTTCACCTGTCACAGAAACAAGAGTTATGATTCAGTTTTAAAGTGAATGGTAGGAATGATTTCCTGAAGCATTTGTCACTGTAGGGCTGGATCAGGTGACTCTGAATCCTCCCTTAGTTACGCTGCAATAAGCCTAGGCTGCTGGGGCTTCTGGGGGTTTCCCATGATGCACTGAGTGTTTCTTCTTCACTCACCTTTTTTTTTCTCCACGTATTATATGGGTATACACACACTCTGCATTTAACCATTAGTTATTATTCATCTCTGGTTCTCTTCCACAGTATGATTTTGGTCCTGTCTTCCTCCCCTTCTTCCTGTTAAAAGGGTGTTTTTCCTTCCCACTGTCGTGAATTTCCACTGTGTGTTCTGGCTTTCTCCCACTGTCCAGATATATGTATGGCGTTAATTATAATTCTAAAGTGCCCATGAATATGAGGTAAATAAAGTTCTGTATGTATGCGTGGTTAAATGTGACTTGTGTAGTCTCTAAAGTGTTTTGAGTGGTCAGTAAGGCTAGTCTGCTCACAGTGACAGTGTTAACACACAAGTATAGCTGAGGTTGATACAAATGTCATTAGTTGTGTGTGTATTTAGTCACCAATTAAATCTGAAAAATAACTTTTTGACCTTAAATGAAAAGTTGAGAATCAGTATCTGTGAGCTGTCTATAGCTAACCACAGCCTTGTGATCTTTACAGGATGCACATGCTGAAACTTTAGCCTGCTGGCGGTTTTTGTTATACAGTCATTAGGCATTTATCCTCTGGGTACAGTTAATTTTGTGGCGATCACCATGATCAGTCTTCTTTACCTCTGGAGACCGTGAACAGTCTGTCACAGTTGTCACTGCTGACCCTTGAGCCACGAAGCTAGTGTGACTAAATAAGGGGAATAAGGTGGCGATGTTAGCACTGAGGGTAAGAGCACCAGTTAACATACCGTTTTATTATCATTTGTGTCCAGTCTTATCATGAGTAAGGCAGGCGCTGATGAAGGTGGAGCTGGGGGCTGCGGTGATTCAGCCAAACAGCTGGAGGCTAAAGATGAAAAAGGAGGAAAGTTGCTGAGCAAACCGTCTGCTGGATCCAGCTGGACCAAAGTGAGCTGCCCCTGCTGCTTCTCAGAGCGGGTGGAGCCGCTGGTTCTGGTGAAGCTTGGCGGGAAAGTCGGCCCCGAGACGAAGCGCTGGCTCATCAAGGTGATTGGAGCTCCTCAGAAAGATGGAGGTGAGGGCTCAGATATCAGCAACAGCACAGAGCTCACTTCAGTTTCTGCATCGATTGGAAACTTGCTTTCAAAGAAAAAGCATGCGGATCAAACATTTATGAGGATTTCTCTTGTGCCAGGAATGAACGTAATAGGAGAATCATTTCCAGGAAACATTGCTACTCTTTAAACATTTGATTGAATTTGCATTTCCAAGCTACATGTCAGATAAATGGATTTAAATGACTCCTATGAAAATGTCTGACATGGCTGCACAGAAAGCATATGCCAGCCATAAACCACATGTCATATCAGATAAACACACAGACACAAAGAAACTACTCTTTAAGATAATAATATTTATGTTCTTTCACTTTGTTATCATTGTTATGGCAACTAAAGATGTTTGGACGAATGGATAAAAACTGCTCTGTCCACGACTCTTTGCAGTGTTTTGTGTTGAAGCAATGCTATGCAAACTAGACAAACTCATCTCCACATAACACCTTACTGAAATTCTAGCAGGGACCACAAAGTTGGGAAAGGTTGGGGAAATCTGTATGAAAGGATGAACATTCGTGCTTTATGGTGCAGCGAGAAAAAACAGTTTTATTATTAGACAAGGATGGCCTGAGTAAGTACAAAG